GAAGCTTCAGGGGTTATAATTGTATCAGATCCTCCAGAGTCGATTAGTACTTTAAGTTAACTAAAGGATAGTGTAAAATATGGAAGTCTGGGGAAAGTTTTAATATTATTTATTTGGATTGAGGTAATGGTTGTTCTTCTAACGAGAGGGTCTGAAAATTCTCGCTTGAAAGTTCTTTTTTGGGGTCGAGTTTCATCAATGGGATAACCATCGCTTGGAAAATTATTTGTTTTATTTGAATAATTTTAATAATCGCTCGGCTTAACTTTAATCCTAGACAAGATATTTCAATTTAATATAAATTTTTGGGGAGCAGTAAGATTCTGTCCCTGAAGAAAAATTAAAAGAATATCTACGGAATTTAAAAATGTTAACAGGTTACTTCCCGTCGAATATTCTGGAAGAGTTGAACAAAGACTGGTAATGTCACTATTGTTTAACATTCTTACAGGAATTGAGGTTTGCTCTGTAAAATTTACGGGGCTTCGATTAAGGGGGCTTTTGTCACGAAAAATTGGATTTTGTGAACGAATTAAATTAATTTCTTCCTCAGTGGAATAAGAACAGGTGCTCATAAGTGAAACAGGTAAGGAAAGATACTTACAGGAAGATGATCAGCTTTGATTTCTTCTGCATTACTTTCTTCGTATATAGTCTACTAAACAATTGAAGTTGACCAAGAATTCTTGTAAATCTGTGTAGAAGATCCTGTTCGCAGCGCCAATTATGTTTTTATTCACTCAAAGCTCTTTTTAAAAAAGGATGTGCATTAATTTACAAATAAAAGTGGTATACAATAATTCTTTATAATATACAACGAATTGAAAACGCTTTTCTACAATGACAGCTAGCACGATAATCATGTTGTCCTATTGCCAAGGTTATGGTAATATCAGGCCTTGGCTTAGGTATACGAACATTTTTAAATGTTAGAGTAGTATTCTGTGACCAAAAGTCAAAAGCCTGCGCAGCTAGATCGATATAGTTCCTCGATACCTGAGGGAAATACCATCGTAAATGTTTTTTGTTCCATTTGGAATGTACAGTAAAAGAATTATCGCCCTGAGTACATCTAGATCTATTTATTAAATGGACGGTTTTTTCATTTAACGTTCCATCAACTGGAAGATTATAGGTTTCTTAAAAATCTACCAATGCACCAGTAATATCAGTAAGACCGTTTTCACTTTTATTTATGTAGTCAAAATGTGTAACGGTTGTAACCGTTTTCGTTATGTTGACGCAAACATCTCTACCCTAATGTCATTTGTCGTTTATGCCTTGTGTCAACAGTTGGCAATTCATTTTCGATTTATAGCTGTCAACGAGCAAGTTGAATTATTGAATTTTAATTATCTTTTATCTTGGACATCCGATGTACTAATTGTCTTTAATATTTTTAACGACCGTCTGATTTTAAAAAGCCTGGCTGTATCTAGATGGTTCAGTAGAAGTTCTATAGAAGTTATATCGATGGTTCTGTAGAAGTTTTATCGAAAAAGATTGTTTGGAAAAACGTTCCAGCTGCATGTGTAGAAATATTGAAACTTAGAAGTTTAGTTCCAGCTACCGAAGTTTATTTCAAGTATATCAAGAGGTTTAGTTCGAGCCATCCAAAGAAGTTTACGAGATTTAACTTTACCTATGAAGATATATCAGTTGGTGATATCCAAGCGTATCATACGAATCCCCTGTACCTGCTACCTGTTATACCATAGATAAGTCAATAATAAAACATTTAAATTTGAATAAGTAAGTCTCTGTGAATTAGAATTTGTCGCTACCTTATCTAAAACCTTATTTAATTATAATATCTTAATGGTTAGTGATTTTCTATATTTTCATCACTAATCGATTGTCAAGTTTAGTAAGTTTTAAATATAGTGGCGCTCAGCATTATTTTTCAAAGTAATACGAGTTGTTTAATAACCTGACCCACTCCCCAAAATCATAGAGCTTAAACACTATAAAAATAGATAAAATAACAAGATCATATTACAAATGTTGTAAATATGTTAAAACTTCATCTTGGTTTGTTATGTTCTGATGAGTAGCAAAGCATAGCGATAATACAAGAAAAAACAAAGAAAGCACGTCTGTATTTTTAAATATTTTGAATGATAATGAACTATGTATAGTAAATGCCATGTAAATAAAACAAAACAAGTTTCACAAAAAAAATGTACTCTTGCCTTTTTAATTTCAATGTATACATACACAATTGTTATACAACAGGTAAGGGGACATCAACAAGGTTCTATATTCGGATCAATGGAACTCTACTAGGACACTGTTTTTTCTATGAATCATTCTAATATAAGTTTTTGTACGACTAATTCTAATGTAAATGTTTCAACAAATTCTGTCAGATATATTTTTCCTGCAACCAATGCAATCTAAGTTTTTATCTAAAGAATGCTGATGCTTGAAGCATCTACGAACTCTTTGTTAAATCTTGCACTTAGCATATTTATTTTAACAAAAACAAAGAACTTAGTGATTTAGATAGTATGTAATGTATTTTGTTTCAGTAAACTCACTACTCACTACCCAAGAAGGCACCAAAAGAACAAAATATATTAACAAAAAAAATTAAACTTTTAAATAATTTCTTGTATTTTTATTTATTTGTATTCAGTTTATTAGTTTCTATGAAGGATTTTTAGAAAAAAAAATTATAAGTATATTACTTTATTTTACATTTTACAAAATAATTCATTTGCATTCATTTTTATTTTTAAAATTCCATAATACTATAATGACCTAAAGGAAGTGTATCGTAACTATTTGATATTAAATATCGTTTATTATCGTGTGGACTTAGTAGAGCTATTTTTGTTTGTTCTACACTAAAGACAGTATGTGCATAGGAACGAATAATGCGCTGACTTTAACATTTATTTTTATTTTCTTCAAGACATTCTATATTTTATTTTTTGCGGTCACGATGACGTCATCTACAGAAAAAGGTTGTTCACAAATATGACAAGTTTTTGAAGTTTCAGTATTGGGTCCCATAACAGTGGGAACAATGGTTTTTATTTGAGTATACATTTTTTTAGCTGCATCTGGCATTTGTTTTGCAAACCAATCCATGCAATCTATTCCCTCATAACCATTGTAATATAAAAGATTGTCATCGTATGCACATTTTACAAATAACCCGCACTATTTATGACTTTTTGAATTATTTCATCACTAACAGAACAAATTTCATCAGAATTAATTTTTTATCGGTTGTAGGTGTTTTATCTAGAGTTTCCGAACAATATAAATTCGTATTTAATATTTGATTTTATAAAAAACCCTTACTTGATTTTGAAAGAGAATCAATTATCTTTGGAGATGTTTCCTTATTACTTAAATTTTGGAAATGATAAAGTTTTGATAAAAATAAATGCGATATTACAGATCTTTCACAAAAACAAAAATACTGCTTACATGTTGTACAATATTGCGTATTCATTATTCTTCTTTTTTAGTAATCACAAATTTTTGGGCCGGATGTGCTTTTCCAGTTTGTATTTCTCCTTGATATGTCAAACAATATTCCCTATTGTTAAACTTGGATTCCTTTCAATACTGCATTTATTCGTCTTGGTAAAAAGATGACGTGTGTGTTTCCAATTCAACCAATGCAGATGGTCCATACTTTGTTTTCACAAATTTCAATGATATTGTTTGATGGGGTGTATTTAATTCCAACTCAGATAATTTAATAACGGGTTTACCGGTAAGTTGAGCTTCTCTATTTAATTTTTCTAAAAGATCCATCTAAAATTATACAATTATATATACTAGATATTGTTCTTTAATTTAAAAATATATAATAGTTACCTTGCAAAGTTTATTTTTACACGTATAACAGAAATACGTTTCACTAACTGCAGATAAATTTTAATTACCAAACCACTCTTTTTAAAATATTTTGCATTCATTACGTCACTGTTGCACCCGGGATTTTCATTCTAAAGAAATGTCTCCACCAAAGCAACACAGACCAACATAGTTCAACTTTGTTGGAGATACAAAATGTCTAGAACAAATTTCACCAACAAAGTGTTTAAATATTTAGGGACTTATTAGGTAGAAATATTCTTATTATTTCGTAGTAGAAGTATTGTTATTGTTTCGTTTTACAGTTCACATTATTTTAATCTGTGTTCAAACCAAAGCTACGGTGGGTGTTAACAAAAATAATTACCAAACACTGTCAAAATATAAGCTAGAATGGACTGAATTTTAATTAATTGTTGTTAACTGTTTTAACAATATTAATTAGAATACGGTCCAGTCTAGCCAATATTTTGCTAGATTTTGATATTTATGTTTATATTACTCACCGCAGCTTTGGTTTGAACAGACACCTCTTATTATTTTAGTTATTTTCAAGTGTTTCCATGGCTTTGGCAAGGATATCTGAACCTGTTTGACCATTGCTTTCATACTGTAAAAGAGTTTCTGTTGTATTTGTAAACTGTGTAGAACCTGGACCTGATGCTGTTTTAGGGGTAGCTGAACCTGTTTGATTATTGTTCTGATACTGTAGAAGAGTTTCTGTTGTATTTGTAAATTGTGTAGAACCTGGACCTGATGCTGTTGCAAGGATAGCTGGACCTTGTTTGATTATTTTTCTGAAATTGTATAAGAGTTTCTGTTGCATTCGTATAATGTGCAGCATGTGGATCTGGATAATATACTGGAGATGGTACAGTAACAGATAGGGGACTGTATGATGAACTGGATGACGTCGAATATGGCTGACTATTAAAACCACTACCAAAATCGTATTTACCCATGCTTGCCTCAAATAATATATTTGAAATTAAATGTTCAGCTGTGTTGCGGGCACATTCAGAAGGTAAACTTCTTAATTTGCAAGCCACATGTTCACCAAATATTGAGTAGCTGTCTCGCATTCTCTTGTTTTCATGCATTTCTTTCATTATGGTATAAGCTTCTTTAGTTCTTCCATCTTCATCGTCCATTTTTTTTTTCGTTTAGGTGCTTTTTCCTTTAGGAGACTTAAATATCTTCTGTCGCTCAGTGGATGATGGTCCAGGAGATGCTGGAAATATATTTCTTGACTCAGTTTTTGATGGTCCAGCAGATTCTGATGATGTATTTCTTGACTCAGGTTTTAATGGTCCAGAAGATACTGACGACATATTTATTGATTTAGAATTTTCGTTTGAGCTGTTATTATTAATGATTTCTTGTTCGGGATTTTGTTCTTTTTGGCTAGTTTTGGGCAGGGTTTCAGTGTCTTCACCGGTATCATCTATATCTTGGAAGAATGTTTCTGAATCATCTGCAGTATTTTGTGTTGATGTATCATCGAGTTCGTTTTTGGATGATGATGAATCGCTGTCCTCCTGGAACAATTGAAAAAATAATGAGGTCAAAACTAGTACTTTTTTCCCTTGTATAATAAATATAAATTTTTTATAAGTTGAGTATTTAAATATGATTTTAATTTAAAATTTTAATTGTGAAGATAATAAATAAAAAAAAAGTTATTGTGAAATCCAGTACGCGCATCGACCCCCTGTATAGTACGTTGTGCTAAAGCATGTTTTCTTTTTATTTCAGATACCAGCGTACCCTAGTAAATGGGAAGTTGTTGCAAATGACTTTGAGGTGTTTTGGAATTTTCCAAAATGCGTAGGCGTCATGGATGGGAAGCACATTGCACTAACAGCTCCAAAAAATACGGGCAGTGAATTCTTTATTTACAAAGGATTTTTTAAATAATTTCCCATTCTTCCATTGTCAAATAATGGTTGAAATCCATATTAATGATTGACATGGTGGCTTTTACAGTTTCTTCCAGGTTTAATATCCTTTCCAGCATGTAGTAAGTAGAGTTCCAACGAGTGGGTACAACTTGTAAAAGTTTTAGAGGATTTTTATTTCCCTGGTTTTGTTGGTAAAATATTAGTTTTGTTGTAGTAATATGGCTTCTTTTAAAGTGACCAACAATGTGCTTTACCCGTCCAATAATTTTAATGATTTCATCATCTTTGATACCGTCATGTACTACTAAATTAATAGTGTGAGCAAAGCAGCCATATTGTTTCCAGCGTAGTTTGCAGCATTATCCGAAATATTCTACTCTGTTACGACCCTTTTTAACTCTTCTGCTAGATTTATAGAAATATGTTGAACTGTCAAATTGGAACACTCCAATAAAAGCGAAATCATTTGAAAATTATCGTTTAGAAAATGAGCAGTCACAGTCATGAAGCTCTCCATGTTAATGGAAGTCCAGCAATCGGTAGTTATATACACTTTTTTGACATTGTAAAATATCTTTTGTGTCAATGATGCATTTCTCGTACAAAGCCGGTAACATGGTTTTAGAAATTGTATGGCTGCTTGGTAATTAATAAGATGCGAATACAAAGTCTTTAAACGCCGTTTCTTCAACAATTCTGAATGGCTGATACGTGTCCGTAAAAAGTGTGAGTAATTTCTCATCAATATTTTTTGTACATCTGGTTTTTAAAAGCGCCCGTTGTTTTCCTAGCATCCTCTTCCCCCTCTGATTTTGAACCTTCTGTTGCCACTTGTGAATTGGTACTTATTGAAGCAGCCTCTGAATTTGTACACTCTTGAGATGGTCTTCTTGGTAAAAAGTCCTATAAACAATATCACTGTTTCACTAAGAAACCACAATTTATATAAACCAGATCCTAGAATTGAATATTAACGTTGACAAAATTTTAGAAATAATTTTTTTTATTTATGAATTATGCAATTAAAAATAATTTAAAAAATATAGGTAATAAAAGTAATTTTAAAAAACCGACTTTAAAATCGTGCAGATTGCGTCACCAGATCTTGATCAAATTTATATGGGACCACTACTGCGGTATCCCCTTTCTAACAAGAATTATTGAAATCGGACAACGTGTTAAAGAATTATCGCTGAACATACATAAAAAAAAATATATACCGACGAATTGAGAACCTCCTTCTTTTTTTGAAGTCGGTTAAAAAAATAAATAAATAAATACCTAAGTTATAAGTAAAAACAAGCCATACTGAATAATTTATTATGTATCTACCTCTAAAAACAAAATACCATCTAGATTATTGCTGTTGCCTGAATCAGGATTTAACGATACAGTTGGATGTTTTGATTGCATATGCCGTCTTAAGTTCGTTGTGCTGGTTCTATAAGACAGCTCAACTGCACAAATATTGCATTTTGCAAATGTATTATATAATTCAGAATAAAAATTCCACAAATAACTATTTTTTCTTTTTTTAAACATTCTGTATCAAAATTTACGGGCCCTTTAAATGTTCTAAATAAAATAAAGAATGAATGCAAAAATTCAACGAACGGCAAACGCGAATTTTCGATTGCAAGCTGTCACAGGTTTCTCAGCAGGATCGCGAAAATCGAAAATGGGGTTTAACTATGTTCAAGCTTTGTTGCCATTTTGTCGCTTGTTGTACTATGTTCAGAAGAAAGGTTGCCTAAAAGCGACATTATTTATCGAAACTTCTTGCTTTGTAGCGACTGCCTAGACGGTATCGCTTCTACGTGTATGATAAAGATAGGTATACTTTTTTCTTCCTTTTAATATAAGAGTAAGAGTAGGGTTATAGTCTGTGGTTATAATTATTTTAAATGGTTAGTTTAAAGGTAAGTAAAATATAGAAAATAAAAGCATAAAGTGACAATGAGCATGTTGGAATAGTGCAATGTTATATACAAATAACATTGTTTGAATTAAAAGGTTTACTTACTTACCGAAAGTTGTAGAGACTTGAAGTTAAGGAACACTCAGTATAGTATTATTGATACCTAGTCAACCATTTATGAATTGTATTTGAAACTAAAAATAAAATTCAAATTTAAAACTTAAATTTATAAAATGAAATAAATAGAATGAATCAAAAAAAAATAATAATGATGTGATCAATAAAAGAGAAAATTTGTAAAATAGTTATAAGCTACAGTTTAAACGTTACTAGTTAAAGAAAACAAACAGTGAATAAAGTGATATCTACAAGGAAAAATATAACTTAAGTATGAAAAATTAGCTTAATGAATGACAATTTGTTACCAGAGAAAAAAAAAAAAGATAATAAATCAACAAGATAGACAGACATCAAAAATTTTGGATAAAGAAGTAAAAATCAGATTACATTTAAATTGGAGCAAAGAAACTGGATTAAAGGAGCCCTGCGTTAAGATATTGAGCTATAAAAGGTATTCTAGCTACCATTTTTACAAGGTAATTGACATAAGTAATAATTTGACAAGTGTACACTAAGTGCTGAAGTTACTTACCCTTTCGACTCGCCGAGTCATAATATGCACAACATTAATAAAGACAGTTAAACATATTCCTGCAAGAGTTTGTCACTATTCGAAATACGGACCTAACATTGAACTGAACTGGTTCACAAACAAAACTATAAACTTTCATTTTAATAGGCATTTGAGGAACACTTTTAAAACACATTTGCTAAATTAGTTATAAGGTAGTTTTAGGTGTACATAGTTTAATTTAGTTATTAGCATTGACTGTAGTCGAGCCGTATTGTTTGTTGTTGGCTGATCGTGGTGTCATTTTGGAACTTAAAATTAAATGGGAGTGGCTATTGAGGTTTAATCTAACCGGTGTCTTGTGGTAAACTGTATTTTGGATAGACAACCAACAATACGCAAACTACATCTCCGTTTATGGCACAAACTACTATTTCAACAAGTAGAGAAGTGGAAATAGTGAGTTTGCGTCAGTTGTTGTTCATTTACATTTTCTTTTGATTTATTCTTATTCCAAGGAATGTTTTTTTTGGCAATTTTTGAAAGTTTTATTTGAATAAAAACATATGTTCAATTTTTAAACAAATTTATTTTGATTTGGGGTTTAAATAAAAAAAAATATAAAATATAAAATTTGATAAGTATTATTGTGGAACCGACACCTCTGAAGAAAAGTCTTTTGCTCGTACATATCTGAATAAAAAAAAAAATAAGTAGTTAAAGAGTATAATCTTGGTAAAATTCCAACATGATCATTTAACTAATTGCACTTTAGTCTAATAAAAAAAAAATGATAAAGTTTGATATTAGTAGATATGTATAAAGGCGCTCAACATAAATAAAATAAATAATTACATCTAAGTACTAATACAAACAATATCAAAGTGTCGAAGCCAACGTGGGGCTAGGAGTAAAACGTGGGTATTATAAAAGTGGTAGTATAAATAAAACAGTGGTGTACATAAATAAGTAAAAGGTGATTGGAGTATTATTATTAAAGTAAAATAAAGTGTAAAAGTGAATAAAGAAGAACAGCGATAAAATGGATCTTAGAGATGGGAAAAGAATAGGAGAAGAAAGACAAGAAGAGCTAGAAGGACAGGGAGATATGGAAGTGGAAACAGATATAATTGTTGGTAAAGGAATAGAAGAAATAGAGGACAAAGAAGAACAGACAACGCATGCTGAAGAAAAGAGAGAAGAAAATTACGGAATTAAGATGATATTAATGGAGATAAGAAAACAAGAGGAAAGAAGACAACAAGAAATGCAGAGACAAGAAGAAAAAAGACAACAAGAATTGTTGAGACAAGAAGAAAAAAGACAACAAGAAATGTTGAGACAAGAAGAAAAAAGACAGCAAGACAAAGAAGAAATAAAACAGGAAATAGCGAGTGTAATGAAGAAAATAGAAGAGTCAAAGTTATACACACAAAGTAAAATAGAAGAAACGAAAAAAGAAATAAGAGTCGAGATGATAGCTAGAATAGAAGAAGTAGAGGAGTTACAACACACAAAATTAAAAGAAACTGAGAACAATCTTAAGAAAGAGATGCAAGAAAAGGAAATTAATATTAATTCAAGAATGGGGAAAATTGAGAATAAAATAGAAATGAACAAAGAAGAGATTAAGAAAGTAGAAAGAGACATTATGAAAAACAATAAAAATATCCAGATGGTAGAAGAAAAAATTAACAAAGAAATACAAATAAATTTTAACATATCTGAAGAAGAAAATAAGAAAACAAGAAATGAGCTAAAAGGTGAGATACAGAGCATAAAAAGTCAAATAGAACAAGGAAGAAGAGGAATGACAGAAAATATGGAAAACGTGGGATTTAGAGCGATGTATAGCGGGATAAATCATAAATTTGATGGCAATATTAAAAGATTACACCCAAAGATATTTATGAAAATTTTGAAAAATAAAATACGAGGAATAAGCGATATTGAAGATATAAAAGAAATTATTCGGGACCATCTGGAAAACCACCCGTTAATATGGTTTGCAGCAAGGGAGAAAGAAATCTTAATTTTTAATGACTTTGAAAAATTGTTTTTGCAATATTTTTGGGGGGAAAACATTCAGGCATCAATTAGTGAAAATTTATATTTTGGCAAATTTTTAGAGAATAAAAGTTCTAGTTTAAATAATTATGCGATTCATTTACATGCAATGACTCAGTATTTAGAACCGCCAATTCCTGAAGCGGAAATTATTATGTTTATTTCTAGGCATTATAAAGCGGAAATAGGAGAAACTATTGCAATACAAAATATAAAAACTTTGGATCAATTATGCAACTATCTTGTAAGAGTAGAAAGAAATTTGGCAACACAAAATAGTAATAATAATGGCTTTTATAACAATACAAATAATTCTGGGAACGATTTTAATTATAAATATAAAAACGAATATAATTATAATTTCAATAAAAATAACAATTTTAATAAATATAATAATAATGATGGCGCCAATGATAATCAATATTACAGAAGACACAACAATTACAATGACTATAGACGTTATAACAATGGCAACAATACAAACTATAACAATAATAACAAACTTAGAAGTAACAATACGAATTATAACAACAAATACAATAACAATTATAACAATAATGAAAATAGATACCAACGGAATGAAAGAAATAACAGATACGATGACAATTCAAACAGACATAATCAAGAAACAAGCTATGGAGCTCAAAGACCACATGAAAGAAGAAATTCAGAAGATAACATGCATACACGAAATCAAGGATATGAGAATAGAAGAGTAAATTATCAAAGAATTGATGATGGAATTACAAGAAATAGGTCGGAAGATAGAAATCAAGACATGACTGGTATGAATGTAATTGAGACTTGTACAGGACAAACGACTGCACAAGTACATAATGAAAATCCTTTTTAAAATCGCACTCACCAAAAGAGCAAAATCTGTATATCTGTGCTTATGAAAATCCTATAGAATTTATAGATTTTTATAAGAATTCAAAATTAGATGTAAATATTGGTTTAATTTTAATAAATTGTTTAATAAATAATATCAGGGCTAAAATACTTATTGACACAGGTTCTGAAGCTTCGTTAATTAGTCAAAACTTGGTAAATAAATTAAATATTGCAGAAGTTAACATAATTAAAATACCAAAATTAAACTTAGTAGGTGCTAACTCTAAAAAACTGTGTGAGATTAGTAGGTCAATAAATGTAAATTTAAATATTGAAGGCAAAATAATCAATGTACAAATGTTAATAGCTCCTAACATTGAAACAGAGGTAATTATAGGGTCTGATGAACTGGAGAAACATAGAGCCATCATAGATTATGAAAAAAGACAAATCCAAGTGGATGGAAAATGGGTAGACTTTGAAATAAATCAGAAGGAAGAAAATACCAGAAAATTGGGAAATATGTACAGTGAAGAAATAGGTGTAAAAGAAGGTATAGAGATGTATCAAAAGGATGAGGTAATTGAAGAAATAGGTATAAATTGTTCCAAGGAATGGATAGAAGAAATTAACAAGTTGATTAAGAAACACCAAGGTCTATTTTCAAAGGAAAATAGAGTAGCTGCTAATTATGTACATAGAATTGAAGTAAATGAAGATATAAGAAATTTCAAGGCCAAAACGTACCCAATTCCCTATAAACACAAGGATAGAGTTCAAGAAGCTATAACTGAATTATTAAATAATAAAATAATTGAAAGAAGTACAACACAGTACATAAACCCTATAGTGGTAGTAGTTAAAAAAAAAATGGTGAATTACGACTATGTCTTGATGCTAGGACTATTAACAAATTTTCAAAGCCTCAATATGAAGCACCTATGTCAGTTGAAGCTATTTTAGGAAGAATTACTAAAACTACAATCTTTTCAAAATTAGACTTAAAGCACAGTTTCTGGCTTATTCCGTTACATGAGGATAGTCGAGACTTTACGGGTTTCTCTATAGATGGAGAAATTTACAGATTTTGTGTTGTGCCATTTGGTGTGCAAAGTGCATGTAGTGCGTTAGTTAAGGCACTCCATAAAATTTTAAATAAATACGAATCATTTGTTCTTCACTACATTGATGATATTTTAATTTTCTCAAAGAATGCAGAAGAACATCTATTTCATGTGCAGACAGTGTTGAAGGAACTGGACTTCGCTGGTCTGAAATTAAATTGTAATAAGTGTGAGTTTTTTAAAAGTGAAGTTAAATATTTAGGATACAAATTGAATCAGAATTATGTACAATTAGATCCTGACAGAATAAAAATAATACAAGAATATGCAAGACCGAAGAATTTAAAAACGTTAAGAGGATTTCTTGGCATGCTTAATTATTACAAGAGGTTAATTCCTGACCTTAGTCAAAAGGAAATACCATTAATTGAACTGCTTAAGAGAAATACTAAGTGGGAATGGAATACACAAAGAGAACAGGCTTTTCAAGAAATAAAAGCACAATTTGTTGAGAATCTCAAAATATATCACCCTAT